CCAAGGGCGAAGGAGGGGAACTTCGCGTTGAAGACTCTGATATTCCCCCCCCCCCCCCAACCCCCAGGCGCTTCAATGGAGCCATGCCCACAATGGACCATGGACATGCTGACCGAACTTCATGGCGGTTCCCAGGCTTGACTCCTGGAAGCCTCTGAACGAGCCTCGACTGAAGGCCCAGCTGTCAGCATCAGCCAGCCGGACCTCCTCGTCGCCTCAACCCGTGTCAGACAACTCAAGGGCAAACACGCTGGGTGTCCAGTAGGGAATGAGGGAATGAACCCAGTTTCATGGATGGTTTCTGGGGGTTCCATTTCCGATTCCCGCCTATCGCACCGATCGCACGAGGCAAAGAGGGTTTTATACATAGCGACAAGCCGGCAGCCTCGGATGGGATGGCGATTTTCTCGCCTCAAGCCGCTGTCTACATCCCCAAATCATCTGATTCACAAGGGGGAACTCCAAAACGGGTGGAACATGTGGTTTTCCATAATAGTGCAACATGTACATCCTTTTACCAACCCTGAAGCGAATCGAATCAGAGTTGAACCTTTGCCTGACCTCCTTGACCCATGGCCAGACCGAGCTGAAGACTTCTTCCAGGTTCTTGTCACAATAGGATCCGATTTCGACCCCCAAAATGGGTGGGTTGTCCTTTGGGAGTCAGTTTGCACTAACCTGAAGAGGGCAGGCCAGGTTTCCAAACAAACAAATCCATGTGACATCGTAACGACATTGACATCATAAAGACATTGACTCTTTCAACGGGTCACAGGGCAGAATCAAGCGTGGGAAACGGTCTCCACCTTCGCCGAGAGACTGACGTGGCCCGTTCTGGAACAAATGCAACGGAGCCAGTGAAAAAGAGACTGGCGGTAATTAGGAATGTTCCGTCTTGATTCCCGCTCCGGAACTTTGGTTCAGGGGTTCATGATTGTTCGAAAAATGATTAAGGCGCTGGCTGGGGGGACAGAGTCATTCAGGGCATCCATCTTGCAATGCGTTGACCTTGGACCATATCATGGGCAGATTGTCATATGGGTAGGATTTTTAATTGGGGACCCTTTGGTCAACATCATTTAGGGGACTTTTTTCCACCAATCACTTCAGGGGGTTCCAACCGTGAAATTTCATTATCATATGTTGTGAGTCCGTTGTTCAATCAAAACCGGAACATCTTGGAGACGTGTCGAAGGTCGTCGAAGCAAACTCGGCCCAAGCCCTGCACATCCCTTGCACCGCAAAGTCTTCTCCGCAGCCTGCGGATCGGAGTGTAAGCTCCGATCCGAGGGCTAGGTGTGTGGGTCTGTGTGTCTGTGTGTCACACGCGGGGAGCCTCAAAATGGCGAAGTCAAGTTGTTGGTTTTGTTTGTTTAATATGTAAAAAAAACAACTCTAAAGGGTGAACGGGGACACTCAAACGCGCATGCCCAAATGAGTCCAGTCCTGCCCGCTTCCACTGGTCCTCTTGCGAGCACGCGTGGCAACGTGTCCTCTTTTGACCTGTAAAGATTGCTCCGTTGATCACTGACATACCGTGACCCGGGCAAGCACGAGCAAGAGCTGGATCACTGAGCTTCTGGGAATGAAACTTCACAAATTGCACAACTCCGAAATCCCCAAGTCAAATATCTTCGGCACAAACAATCCCGGACTCCTGGAAAAAGATCTTGGGAGAAATCGCCCGTTTCACCCGCTGCGCCCGTTTTTCGCCCATCGACGCCTCAGCTGCGAAGGCAGTGTCGATCTCCGTGCCCAGGCTGCTTTCGCAGACTGGGCCTCGCAAGTTGCAAGTACCATCGTCCTTTTGAACCGATCGCTGCTCCCCAGAAAACGTTTTGGGCGGGATTTGTTGGAAAGGATGCCTGGAAAGAAGGGAAATGGAAGGTACCAGATCTTTCCCCAAAATCTCCCCGCTTCATGTCGAGTCTTTGGGATTAAGCTTCGTGGATTAGGCAGTGGATGCATCCGGCGTGATTCTTCCCTAAACCTCGAGGTCTTGCGAAGGCCTCACCCGTGTTTTGTGAGGCTGGCTTGGCTTTTAGGCGCAAGGCAGAGGGAAAAATTAAGGTGCCAACTAGGTGCCATCGACCCAATGCGTAATGCGTACCTAGATGCGTGCCAGGAAAACGAAAAGAGCGCCAACTATCCAAAGACATGCAGCTCTCGTGGAATAAAGTAGCGCGTTCGAAGGCCAAGAGTGACTGCAAGGAGTACATGCTGACCCCATACTTGCTTCCCTTCCCTGCGAGGTGAGACAATTGGGACTCCAGAAACCCACATGCACAGCGACAAAAGAGCCTGAGGACTCCGGAGCCTTTGAACACGGCCCGCACAAACGCGCGTGGTGCTTGAAGGCAGGGCCTGAACTTGTAGCGCCAAATTCATCTGAAACAAGACAGGTCTGTTGCCTTCGAAGTTGCTGACCTCAAAATGGAGTTGCAACCCCACAGGTGCGGCCTTCATGTTCAAAGGGGGAAAAATCTCATTTTCTGGTTCGATGGGCAGGGAAGGAGAAATGGAGCGACCGGAAAAACCATCCCCTTCGTGGTCCCAAAACCGAAACAAATGCCCAGACTCGCAAGGTGACTCCCTACCCGCTGGCCCCGCGTGGGCTCAGAGGCGGGCAGCGTTGAAGATTGCCTTTGGAGGCGCAGTCCTGGCACAGCCTGTGGGCACCTCGGAACCGGAAAACCGGCTCCCCGCATTTGGATTTTTTTGTGGGCTCTGGATTCCCAGGGGAAAAAAAGGGGCAGCCGTTTTTTTGTTGTTTCCTTTGGGGTGTTCAGTTGAAAGCCGAGGCAAATGAAAGGAACTTGAAGGCTTTGGAAGTGGCCCCTGGGGAATCCTCGCACTACGATCCATCCAGTTTCCGGAGGTGCTGAACGGGGACCCGCTCTGCCAGACAGCGAAGAGTTCACCCAGTGGGCCAAGTCCCAATCGGACAGCCTTGCATTTCTTCTTTAAAACGCGGGAGGCCATTTTAGCGACGTCCGGCTGCCTTGCGGATTCCACTACAATTCCACTACAATGGGAAAACCACAAATGTTGACCCCATATTGATCAACCCCAGTTATTAATAGGGGGTATTAATAGGGGGGTGTTCCCCTCCAAAAGTGGTCTGATTCCCCACTAACGCAGGGACGCCTCTTAAAACAAATTGGGGTTGATTAATTGGGGGTTAACATCAAGTCCAGAAGCTAAGTTGCACAGTGTTTGTGGCTGTTGTCAACCTGAGCTTCAGACAATTGGACTTGATGGGCCTGTCAGGCACCGCCAAGCAGACCTCGTCCGAAGCGAGTTGCAAGCGAGGAACGCTCTCAGCTGCTAGCTTTCAAGTGCTCGCTAGAGCAAGACTCAAAATGCATGGCTGAAATTGCAGGCGACAATAACGTAGGGACGCTCAAATTTTGTTAGCTTTAACCAAACACTTCTCCGCACTTCCCCGCATTACAGCTTCTCACCAAGAGACTCATCGAAAACGGCAACCCAGCCTGCGCTTGGCTTTGGACACATAGCGCGTGCAGGAACGGCCAGGTGCGACAGGCCAATGCACAGCGTTGCTACTTGAGCAACGGAACACTCGCTCACAAAAGACAAACACTTTGTTTGGCGTGTCATGTGTGTGTGCAAACATGAGAGGCCCTTGGTTGGTTTCTGTTGCAAGGGAAGCCAACATAAACTATTTTGGAATCCCGACTCCCTTTTTGTTAACTAAAAGTTGCCATAACAGCTTAGTAGCCGAGTCACTTGAAATTCGAAAGACATTCACAGGAACAGCACACCAAGACTAGAAACGCGTGAACCTCCGCTCGTCCTGCAGTGACATGTTAGTTTTCGGAAAGCGGCTTGCGTTCTATTCACCCTCTCACTGGTGGCTCGCGTTTGGTCAACAATGCTCTGAGGGTCGGCAACCAACTCGGCATTGCTGAGCACCCGGCACAGCATCTGAAGTCTGCTGGAATTTGCATCTTCAGTGCATACGGAACGTGCTCCAAATGCGACTGCAAACCTAGGCAAATTGCCGAAACACTTCGTGGTGCAAACCTCCAAGAACGTACATGACGGCACGCGGGTTGCATTCAGCAGTATGGTGTGACTGCTTGCCATCCACTCCAAGTTTTCATGACATACTGCCCTGTACTCACCATGAATTGGGGAACCGAAAGTACCAGCGAGGTACCTTGCTCGCTACTGATGGATTTCTTGTGCCCGATGCAAGCTGTGAGCTGTGAGCCACAGAATTCCACAGACTGGATCCCTGCGGAAGCAAAACCTGTTTAGGGTGTTCCCCTCCAAAAGTGATGAATCCCTACATTTCGTCCAGTGGCATTCTTTGGAGGGAAACGGCTTTCTCTCTGAGAAAGCAGTCAGCTGGATTTCGAAGCTGCCCATGCGCCACTCACTTGCCTTCCAGGTTCCAGTGTCTACAACTGAGGCGCTCAATCCAATCGTGGGCATCAGGGGCGGCCTCAAGAATGCCCCTAGCCAGCCAATTGCCTTGCAAAACCGTGGCTTGGCAAGCTTAGGGAAACCTTCTACCTTGCCGGCAAACGCTGACGGCGCAGCTCTGGCCAGCTGCGGGCAGTGTCCTCCATTTTCTGCACCCACTTCTGACGGTCTCATTAACTCAGCCGGTGGCTAAACTGAAGCACCGCCCTGCAGGTCTCACTTGAGTCACAATCAAAACCTGGTACCAAAATGGTCGACCAAGAACCATGTGAAGAACTAAGAAGGCGGCCGCAGCTATGTTTTCACGGCTGGGATCGTCCCTTACTAACCTTCACTTACCCAGGTGTTGATTGTGGACAAAGCTGATCACTGAGAGCTGTTGGGCCAATTTCTTGCTGGTTCGATCAGGGAATGAGCAATACCCTCCCTTGCTTCCTTTAGTGAATCCCTAAGTGCATTGCCACCCGGGCTTGGTCCTTGCCCTATCGCACCAGGAGCTCTCGAAAGCGATCCCAGGCAGTCGCCTCTCATTAACTCGCCGATGGCCATTAGCCGGGCAGCGCCTGGCGATATGGTACTTCCCAGATTCGCCAAAGTCGGGGCAAAGAAGCAGAGACGTGAGTGAAAGTTGGGCTGAGTTGATGGATTTCTCTCCGGCCTCTAAGTTTCTAAGTCCGCGGTGATGCTGACAAAACGGGGTGTTGTTCAAAATGACCCGTTGTTGGCCCCAAGCAGCCCTTCTGTGGGACGCAGCGACGGGCCAACGTCCATGACCAAATGGTATGACCAACCTACGCAACAAGCGCTCAAATTCTGAGCTAGCAATTGCCTCCCAAAGTCCCGCCAAGCCTCTCCGGCCGTTCAGTTTAAAAGTGAACAAGTTACCTTCCGTCGTCCTCCTGCCTGGTTGTCGAGGATCGACAAAAGTCAGCATTCCAAGAAAACTAGCAGTATGCTGCTCGACACAAATTCCCCATATGAGCTACAGCAGTTGGTTGATACATGTTTGAATTGCCGTATGTCCCCACCTCGAACTCCAACCTTCACCGAGAGAAACTCATAAGCAGGGACTTGGGCACACTGACATGGAATGAACCCATCAAGCAGCCCCTAGTAGAGGAAGGTCAAAGGCTCATACCTGAGGGATTCATGCATTTCAAATTGGCCTGTCCCAGAAAAAAAGCTAAACAAGAGAGCAAGAAGAAACAAGAACAACAAACAACAACACACCCACGCAACCCCCCTCCCCCCCCCAAAAAAAAAAAGCCGGTGAGGCTGCCAGCCGCGCTGCGACGCTGGCTTCGCAGTACAGGGCGAGCCTGGCACCATGCCGTTGTCAACTCCGTGAATGCACTTCCTGAGTAGATTGGCCAAACAAAGTCTGCTCTGCCCGCGGGCTTCAAGCTGAAGACAATCCAAAAAAGCAACTCCATAGATTTGGGCACAGCGAGACGAGCTGGACCTCAGCTCGAAGAAAACCAAGGCTAGCAACAAATATCTACTGCCCGAACACTCAAGCACCTTCGCACGCTTGCTGACTTCAACTTGGAGCAGCTTTGGTGAGGTGGGCCCCAAAAAGCCCCAAAAAAAAAACGTCACTTGGAGGGTGGGCCTGTCGATGGAGCCGAAGGGGCCCAATTGAAAGCTACTCCCGGCCGCCCAGACCCTCCCCAAGGCGTGAGCCCCGGATCTGAGGACAAAGCTCCGTGTCCAGATCTTCAAACTTGCGGTCCCTTTCGCTCGCCTGGCAAGCGGAAAGTTTGGTCGCAGCCCGCACGCGCCACAGAAGTCACTCGCCGGAGCGTGTCTGTTTGCTGCCAAGTGGGGCTATATACTGGCGATAAAGGTGTGAAGGAGGCTAACAATCTGAAGTTGCTGGTGGCTAATGGCTGAACACTCAGGAAAAAAAAGGAGAAACAAAAAACCGTCTGGTGCTTCATTGCACTTCTGTGGCATTTCTCCGCGGTCCGCACATTTCTGCAGCCACGTCTTGTGGCCGCTGCGGTGTGCGTGTGTATGTCTTCGGTCCTTCGGCAGGTCCGAGCATCTTCTGGCCCCCTTGACCCATCAAGTCATCAAGTGATCAAGTGGCTTCAGGGTTCCAAGAACTCAGTTGTTCAGTGACCCTGGGAAAAAGGGGAACTCCTTTTTGGGAAGACCATTTTAGTGGGGCAGCCACCAAAAAAACAAAGGGAAGAAGGGGGCCACTGAAGAACTGAGAGAAGGATGCATCCAAAAATACTGTGAATGGACAAGGTCCCGCACCTGGAATGGAGGAAACCTGGATACAGGTTGAGAAACCACTTACCCACTGCTTCGAAACGGATTTTGGCCATCCGTAGTGCCACCTGCTTTTTAAAGGCGGGTTCTAAGAGTGATTGATTGCTGAAGTGGTGCGAATACATCCTTGGGGCCCTGGCAAAAGATCAAACGCAGGCCTCCAGGAAAAGAATTACAAACGCCCAGTCTGCAAAGTGGAAGAGGTTCTCACTTCCGTGGATTGCCAAAAGAAAAGCTCCCAACATCTCCCAAACTGCTTGTTTGCCGCCAAAATGATCTCCAGACCAGAATGGTCAATGACCCACTTGAAAACGCAACCTGCCTCAGGGCCGAGTGAAACGTGCCTCCCTCAAAGCCGCTTTGATTGGACCTGAGCTAAAGGCCCCCCCCCCCGGGTTCGGGAGGGGCGTAGTGGGTGTGTCATGCTGCAGTACTTTTCGCTTGGATTCAACTGGAAACCAAAAGGAGACTGACCTTGTTGTGGGTTCCCCATTTTGAGACAAAGTGACCTGAGTTGACTGCCCGGAATCAAATATACTTTTTGGCCCACAAAAATTATGAAACTTGCCAAGACAAGTGTACAGGTTGAATAATAGAAAGTAATCTAAATGATGCGGGAAGCAGTGGGAAACGACATGCAACTGAGGGCAGTCAGCTTGCTCATTCTTGCCTTGGCCCAAAGCCTAAACCCACACTTCTTCTCTTGTGCACATGGATGCAAATATCATCCACACTTTTCTGAGGGCCTGTTTATGTTAGCCTTTGGGGAACCAGGGGGAAGCGTTTTAAACAGCGGCCCACCCGAATGGACGTGGACCTGCTCCCGTTCCAAGTCACCTTCATCCTCGAGGGCAATGGGCGGCAGCGGGGGGCGCCGAGCCCTGGAACGGGGATACGGAAACACACCGGAAGGCAACCCAAGATGATTTTCGGATTTTGGAGTGATTTCCAAGTGAAAATTGGATTGACATGGGATTTTGCGGATTTTAGATTGATTTCATTCCAACTCGAGATTGGTTTAACCTGCTGGTGCGATAGGCAGGGAATGAGGGAATAAACCGGTTTTGGGGATTCCCTTAAAGGAATCCATGGGGGATGGTTTATAGGGGTCACTCCATTTCTCATTCCCCGCCTATCGCACCACCAAGCTAATTCTCAAGCGAAATGAACAAGGGGTTGCCCATTGAGGGGATCTTTCACTTGGGGCAACGGCGAACCCCGATCCAACGAGTTCAATCCGGAACCAACATTGGGCCCAGTGCTGAGAGTTGCAGACCAGCCTGATACCCTCTCGCAGGATCTTACCACCTCATGGGAAGCTACGGAAGCCATATTGTAGGGAATAGGGAATGATTACAGTAAATAAGCATGCTACGGTTGGATCTCCTCCCGTGTGGGATGCTTGCACTGCCACACACTGGCGCACATGTAATCTGTTGGGAAAAGTATCACTGGATAGCCATTCACAAATCAGGTTCCAAATGAGCGTGCCCGGGCTTTAGATTCCCAGCCAACAAACCAGCATCACAGCTCAGGTAAGATTTCTGCAACACGCCTGGACACATTAGATACAAGGGCATGAGTTTGAAGTAGGGACCCTTTGGTGGACGTCATTTAGGGGGGATTCATGCTTTTTCCGCACCCGTTTTGAGGTGGCTCATGAAACCTCATAGCCACATGGGTCTGTCTTTTTTGAGGGTACTCCTTTTGGTGGCTTTAAAGGGAGACCAACACAGAAACCACTAGTTGTTGGGGGGGTCTCCTAAAGACACGCCCACATAGTGAAACGCGTGCATTACCCGAGGTACGTCTCCCTTTTGAAAGCGGGGCCTGGCATTCTCGGAGTGCCGCAAGCGCGCCTGAGACATCGACATGAGCCACACTCAAAATATGGTCACCATACCTGAAATGGACATCAAACTACAAAACCCCCTGGCTGTTTTTTGCTTTGTTTTCGGACAAGCGGTGATTGTTGGACATTCGGCGAGTCCCACATGTCCCCCCCACCAAATTAGCATGTCTTTGCTTTTTGATGGGTTCAAAAAATCAATGTTGGAAAATCACGGCTGTTGAACCCCTCCTTTGAGGGGTCCCTGTATTTCCTTAAGAGGGTCAGCTGCGCCCTGGGTGCACACATCCCCTACAGGCCTCGTACGGCCTTCCGCAAACAAGTCAGAAGTGCGCATGTCCTTCAGTACGCTGCAGCTGTGCCTTTCCGAATTGCCTAAAATTCACAGCATTTGGGACGCGTTTGCCTGGTAAACACCCTTAGCTTGCTGAGTGGTAAGATGGGCATGGCTGAACCCCAAATAGATGTTGGGGATGCGTGGATGGTCCAAAGGGTCTGTGAAGACACCCCGCCGGAAACACTCAAGTGCTCTGCACAGCCCCACCCGAAACCAACAAAGGACACTAGAGATATACCCAGAAAAGGGCTCAGCCCACAGCTATGAGTGTGCACCCTGAAGCTTCCAGTGGGTCCCTTTTAGAAGCAAATCGTCTTCCAGGACCCTCAGTCAGGGTCCATGTTAGCGGACAGGAGGGTACCGGCGATCTGGAGAAAGCATGTTTGGGAAAAGTATATATTTTCAGCTCGCAGCAAATGCAGCAGCAAATAGGGTCCCAACTGCAACACCACTCAACCAATGTGGCACACACAGGTGGGTACCGCAACGAAAGAAGCATTCCAGGTCTTTGTCGGTGTAAGGCTGGCTGTTCCACAAGGTTGAGCAAGTCTCAACTCAAAATAACCGCACTCACACAGTTGAAAAAAATCAGCTGCTTTACAAGCAAATGCACAACTGATGGTTGATTCAATTCTCCTTCCCCCTTACCATCAGGGGCAATCTGCACCCCCAACTGGAAATATCATGAATTGACGATACTGTTTACCACACATGGCATAGTAGAAGCGGTTCAAATTTTGCTCGGGATATGTCCACCAGGTTTGAGGGCTTGCGGCTCGCTTCGCCACATTGAATCCTTTCCGGCCATGTGCAGCCAAAGCGCCATCAACTCCTTCTCCTCGTGCATCAGCTCCCTACCGCAGCGCGCACTCAGAGGCTTCCGTGGCACCTCGAGAGGCGACCCCAAAGATCTCCCCAAACATGGGTATTCAACCGACTTCTTCTCTTCTCTCTCTCTCTCTTTCTCATTTGTGTTGTTCTCTTTCTCTGTCCTTTCTACGTTTGTCTTTTATCTTTCTCTTTCCCTTTCTCTTCCGCTCTGGCTCTGCCTCTTCCCCTTCCTCTTTCTATCTCTCACTCTCTGTCTCTCTTTCCCTCTCCCTCCAGCCCAAATCAAAGAAACCCAAAGCACGCTTCGCAGGTTGACCCCCTGAAAGTCCATGTCGCGCTTGAGAAGTGGAATACGCCCACAGGACGATTATGTTTTTCACCGCAAGCCACAGAGGGCGTACCTTTTCTCACTTGAGGCCCTGAAAATAAAAGGTGATCTTTGGGGACCTTGAAACATGGACCAAGAAACTCCAAAGGTAAGAAAAGGTTGGTTTTTAACAACTGAGTTTTGAGAGTTGCGCAAGCTGAAGCACGCAAAGAAACACGAGCCTCTGCAGACTGGGAGTGTCCTTGACATGCCTAAAGTTACTTCTTGAAATGTTGCCTTCGCCGTGGCTCACCCAATTCATCCGGAAATATTCGGGATGGGCTGGGGGAAGGCTGGAGGCTTGTGGTCTGGGCTGCAGGGCTAGAGGCCTTGGAGGCTACGCTTTGTTTTTAAGGAGTTGGCGTGGAGGGGGAGACTGGAGCGCTCAGCAAGTACGAAGCAGCAGCTGGCAAGGGCTTAAGGTTTACTATGTCCTGTTTCAGGGGGGGGGAAGGGTCTGATCCGATTAAAACAATCTTTCATGCTACCTCCGGCGCCCTAGGGTGGCCCGCGCAGCCACTTTAAATATCGGTTTTTGCCTCCCAGCCAGCACTGAAGTCCTGGCCTGGAGATTTAGATGTCATCACCGTGACTTGCCCAATCGTCTCCTTGCCTGCACGACCTTCTCCGAAAGGGAGGGCGTAAGGCAGGGAGACCTGGCAAAACGGCCCCGCCATCCCCAGATCCCCAGCCTTGCTTGATAGGGCTGGGTACAATGCGATTTAGCAACCAAACTTAAAGGGGACGGTTGTCCTCTGCCAAAGGTCCAAAAATCCTTCTGTCGTCCACCAAGGTTTGATCCTTCTTGGGCGGACCTTGCCCCCCAAGACACGGGCACCTTGATGGGTGGTTAAAACCAGCACGGTTGGCCAACAAGGGACGGTTGAAAACCACGGCTTAACCACGCGAAACGATCGCTTGGCTCGTTGGCTCGCTCGCGGATTGCGGCTTGCGGATGTCGCCTCTCGCGGCGCTCGGCTGCGGCATGGCGCTGGAGGGCGCGCTGCTCTGAGGCGCTTCCTCAGCGCGATCCGTCTTTCCCCAAAGCGCCACCGCACCCGAAGGACCTCAAAGGAGTTT